CCTATTCTATCAATCCAAACAAAATCCTTTCCCCCTTTTTAAAACCACTTCCTACTCCCCAAAAAAGAAACCGTCCTTTCCTTTTTATTCCATCCCCAAAAAATCCCCCTAAACTCCCCTTTAATTTTCCCCACCCAATCAATAAAAATTCCCCTCTCTTTTTCTAACCACGAAAATTCCGCAATTCAAAAAACACGTTTTTCCCATTAAAACCCCAAATCAAATTAAAACTTTTCTTTTTCTTCTTCACCCTCCAAATTTTTTCTTCAACTTTCTAAAAGCCCAATTCCCCCGTCCCAAAATTTACCTTAAACTTTTTCCCCCCCACCAATTGTCCAATAAAGAAAACCCTAAAACCTTATCCTTTTTTTAAAAATCCCAAAAATTCCAAAACCCCCTTAACCCTTGTTTAATTCCCTAAAATTTTTTTTTTCTCTCCCGCCAAAACCACAAAAAATTTTCCCCTAAAACCCCTTAAACCCCCCCTTTTCAGCCTTTTCATTTTCTCGGATTTTAAACCCTTTTCCCCCGGGGGGGGGGGGGGGGGCTGTTTTCGTCGTCGTGCGCTTCAAGCTCGCGCTGCCGGTGATGTAATGCCTCCCTCAGCAATTGAGACTGCCAAATCCAACAAGCAAGACGTAGACTATTCACGATGTTCGCGCCAACAAAACACGACACTTGAACGTTCGTGCCGCCGTACTACAACACAGAGCTTGTTCGTACACGTATTAATAGTGCTTTGCAGCGTACAGACAGCAGTACCGTCAAGTGCGCGAGACGCGCAGGCGTTCGATCGACTCTTCAAGCAATATTTGACCCACAGCCAAGCGGCTGCCGATTCCGAAACTCATGCTTAGGGAAAACGTTTCGTCGAGCGCTGTCTTTCCTTGCACGTAAAAGTCGGGTTTCCCCGCACCGTCTTGCTTGTGGAGCGAACGACCTAAAAAAACCGATCGCACGCCTGTCTGTGCGTTCCCCCGCACTCAACGGTATTAACTCAGTCTGGCCTACCTGCGTGTGGACAAGCCCAGGACAAGCGACATCACCCCCCCGATCGCGCCGTAGAAGTCCACCGTCTGCACCCCCTTGTTCAGGGCGATTCTGTAGGTTCTGTGAGAGACGTCACACACGATGACAACGAGGAGGTGGGGGGGATCAGCCTGTACTGACCCTCCGTACAATAATGTATGAACGCCTGTTGAAGAGATGGGGACAGGCAACCCCTCGCTATTGCGAACGATCAAGCAGAGGTCAGGCCCTGTTCTCTCTAGACCTGCATGAAAATACGTTGGCACCCGCAAGACGAAAAGAAACCCAGCTGCAACAGCCCGGTGACCATCTGGCATACTTCTACAGTAGTACAAGCAAAAAAAAATACAAAAAATGTCAAGGCAGCAGCAGTTTCGCCCGCACCGGTCTTCCAATCCATCGAGGTCGACGGTCTGCATCTTGAAGCACATCATGGGTACGGTCATTATGACACCGGCCCCGCCCCCAAGGCCAGCGAAGCGTGGCCACTGCTTGAGCACCAGAGATGAGACGCTCCGACTGGATTGTGGAAGAAGGGAGTACCATCGTGTGTAACAGGAGGGGGCAAGAGGAGGGACGGCCGCTGTTGAGGATCTGGGGCAACATGGGCGTGTGTGTTGGGAACACGAAGATGGGTGGGAGTCGGATGCCGGTGAAATTCACACGCTCGTATTTAATCCTTGAATGTGGAGTTAGGCCACTTGTTAAGCTGTCCTTTTTTGGGCTGTCTTTTTCTCAAAAAGGGACAACTGGCCAAAGAACCACTTGTTACGTTGTCTTTTTTTGCATTTTTGGACCTTCGAAAAAGGGACAGAAGAAAAAGACAGCGCCATCCTGTCTCTTTTCGGGCAACTTTGTGACAGGATGGGACTGTCTTTTTTGTTGCCCTTTTTCTGTCGCAACACATGACACTTGCCCACAAACTTGAATATCTCGACGGATGATCCCCGCAAACTCTAACGGTATTCGCACGAGTCGTGTCATGTGACTGGTACGGAGTCAGTAGCCTCGGCGATAGACGTAATGTTGTCATTCGGCTGACCAGGTGGACAACCCGATGTGTGCGGCAAACAAGCGGCAAACGAGCCGAAAGAGCCTGGACGCACCAGCGGTGGGTCTTTTTGGTGCACAGTCAACTTTTGCGAACCCAACTTCTGGGCGACCTATAGCGTCCTGGTTTGTATCAATCACCACACAAGACGAATCAGACGAACAGCTCATGGCGGATACCTTTGTCATCGCTGTTGCTTCGGTGTGTGACGAGGGAGTATCGATGAACCAAAGTTGCAACACGGGAAAAAGAACAAAAAATATGCTTGGAGACGCGGCGGGTCATTTTTCCCGCTTGTCCACCACTCTCGCGCTCACAACCTCTGACCGCCCGTCAGCCTCCTGGTCTGTATCAACCACCACACAAGACGGACCATACAGACAGGCACACAAACAAACCGACAGACGCATATATATGTAGAAAACAGGCAGACGGATAGACGGACAGAGTCTCACTCTGGGGAATTGAGCCACACGCCCAAGGAAGCAACGGAGCCGACAGTGCTCCAAAGCTACCGCCGCAGCCGTACACAATAGTTGGCAAAGGCGGAAACACACGCGGATGGGCGGCGAGGCACAAGGAAGGGTGAGTAGAAAGGGAGGGAGGGCGCAAGGCGGAAAGGCAAGGGGTGTCACGCAGACTACGCGTGATTTGGGTGTATATCGTTTTGAAGGAATGCGAGTTTCTTTGCCCATCTAGATCATTACGTGTCTATACGAATTGCACACATACGACGCACAACAACAATGGCGTATGGAAGACTAGCAGAGGAAGGACAATCGGACTGGTCGGCGAAGCCCGACGAAAAAGAGCCAGTTAGGAAGGCAGCACATTATTATTGAATATGGGAATTGTTCATGATTGTGCACATTGAGTAGTGTAATAAGGCTGGGAAAAAATACAAGGAAGCACATTGATTGGTGAGCAACACGGATCGAACCCACGGAGAGACCTATGCAACTTCCACAACTGGACGATTACACTACTACTTCATGGTTGTCTCACCTGCACATTCTTGAGGAGAACATGAGAAGTAAGGGCGAGGCCGGGGTACTCCGGCATGTCCTTCGCGACGGACTCATCGTACTTGGAGAGGTCAGCGCGCTTGTTCAGATCTGCGAGGGGCATGCTTCTGTCTGCTGTTGACGTATTTGGTTGTGTCTGGCAAGTGCAGTGGTCAGCTGGCTCTGCTCATGCATGTATGAGGCAGAGCTCTCCTCAGCTCCTCAGTTTGGTCGTGCGGCAAATTCGGAATGCCGCGCAAAGTAATACGAAACCTTTTCTCGCGCGCGCCAAAAGACGAGAGGGGGAGTGTACAGCAGCTCGTACAGCGTAGGAGAGTGGAGAATCCTCAAAAGCGTTGAAGTGTGCTCTCACGTTCTCACAAACACATGTGCCAATGGTATAGTCATTTGTTGTTGTGCTGTCACACCTATCGAGAAGAGCAGAATCTGCGACACACATATTTGGCGAAATCGCTACTGCTAGGAGACTTAGCATGCCACACTGACTCGGGTTGATTCAGTTCATCCGGCTGCTCCTGCTGAGCCCAACTAAGTTTCTCGGAAGAACGCGAAGAAGAGAAAAAATAACTGCATGATGAGTTAATATGACACCTCACGCAGCGTTCGATGGCTCATCATACATCATCCACGCTGCTGCTGCTGCTGCTGCTGTACCATACGGCATGTGGGTCTGTAGAGGGGATTGACACGAGTACTATGACACCCGACGACCGGAGAACACGAATTGGAACACACTCTGCTTGTTGCACAACATACTACATGAAGCATTTATGATTATTTTCTGTGAGAATAAAATCACCGACCAACTGGCAACAGCAGCCGCAGCCGCAACAGCAACTGCATCATCAGCGGCAGCACCAGAAAAGAAAGAAAGTTATCACCGCAGCATCTTATTTATGCACTATTGTATGGACGTCAACACAACATGTATGTATGTGTGGGGAAGCGCTGTCCGTCTCTCTCGCTCCAACCTATGTAGTAGAGACCGGCGCTAGCGCTCGGTGCCCGTTGGGATCGGTCTGCTGCACCGCCCTTTGGAAGGGGCGGCGACTTTTGGACAGGTGGGGACTTGCCATCTCCGCTCTCACCCATTTGCACCGTTGGCTCGGTGGGTTTGGCATCAAGGCCGGTGACACATGCTGCCCCACTGCTGCCATGCGCGCGCTACAGCGCTGCACAGCTGTGCATACTGTAAGTAGCTCTGTGTGCTGATGTTCGTATGCCATGCCTATGGGATCCCCCCACAAGGTTGCTACTCTGCTTACAACAAGAGAGGCAAGGCGGGGCGGGGAACACACAGGTTCATTGTAACCACGGTTGAGCGGATAAACACTTGTCTCGAGCTTGTAATCCATTCCCTGCTCCGGCGGAACCAGAACGATTCCGATATCCGTGATTGGCCGGCGCTATCGGGGCAATACCCCGACGCGCCGATATACGATACTGTATACCCCCACCGTTGAGAGCTGTGACACGTTACTTTTTTTTTTGAGGTTCCGTACACCGATTCAGGGCTGCATACAATACACGAAAAAAATGCGGGACCGCGTGTGCAGGGCACACCTCCCACACGACCACAACCAATCGAGGGACACAGCAAGAGCGAGCGTCTGCGCCCCCTTCCCAACCCCCCCCTCCCGGCCTCCCCCGAGCACGAGTGCCGTGTACGTCAGTGCAACGAGCGCGTTGTAGCACACCTCTTCTGCTGCGCGACGGTTGCATTTTGGGAAAGTGGCAGCATCAGCATGACTCGGTCAAGGTTTTTCTCTTCAACCGAGGAGAGCAGAAAGAGCGTGTTCGACGCTGCCCCTCCTGCTGCTGCTGCTGCTGCGGTTATCTCAGCGACCAGCAGGAGCAACAAGGGTACCAAGGTGGCCAGCAGCGGCAGCGGCAGCAACAGCGGCCCTGCGTCGCGGTGGCGGCGTCGCCTGCGTCGAAGCCACGCGCACGATTTCAACGAGACAGCAGCAGCAGCATCAGCATCAGCAGGAGGAGCAGCAGTTGTCCCCGAGAAGCCGGTGATCGCAGCAGCCCTCAGCCGAGACTCCCTCCTGGGGTCGGGTTGCCTCACAGAAGCCCCAAGCTCTCGCGGTACGTCAGCGGAGACTCTGTCCACATGCAGTCCGGGCCTCGAGTCTATTGCAGATGGCGGTCTGGACGTGGACAGCTTCGATCTCGATGGCTCGGAGAGTTGCTGGCTCGAGGCGGAGCTTCCGCCCCTCCAGCTGCCAGCTGCTGCAGCTGGCGCAAATTCGCACCAGCAACGAAAAGAGCAGCAGCAGCAGCAGCAGCGGTACGTCGGCCCGCTCGAGCTCCACGTGAAGGACTTCGAGTGCGGCGAGTGTGTTGGAAAGGGGTCCTACAGCAAGGTGTTTCTGGGCTCCCACGCGCCGACTGGGACGGAATGGGCGCTCAAGGTCGTCTCCAAGCGGAAGACATTCGAGACAAGAGAGAATCTTATGCACTTGCGCGAGGAGCGGCACATCTCCACCAAGCTTCAAGGCAGTGATTTCCTCGTGCGAACGGCAGGGACGTTCCAAAACCCCAGGAGGTGTGTGTGTGTACGTACGCGTCCCTTAGTGCCGCGTAGTGCCATTGCAACGGCTATGTAGCAGTGCACAGGCAGGTGGTCCTGTTGCGCAGAGATGGTGGTTCTACGTACGCGTTTAGATCGTTTCCGACAAGGCTGCTGTTGTTTGCCTCTCGTGGGATCTAATTTACTTTTGGGAAACATAACAGATGATTATCCGCCTCTTTTTGTCACCTTTATTTCTGGTCGGTACAGCAGTGTTTTCAGGGTGGTGCCCAAGCACCTGTAGCAATACCCCGGCATGGGCGTGTGATGATGCAGAGCAGAGCACGATGGGGCAACCCCGCTCTTACCAACAGCGCCTCTTGCTTGGCGAGCAGTTCGTCCGCTCCCTGTTATGTACGTAGACAACAAATGTTCAGCGCTGGCTTCGAATATGAATACTTTTGATCACGCCTTCTTTTGCGCTTGCCCAAATTTGCAACTTTGTGGACCCTGAATCTCGATGTACAGACTACAGACCCAATGATACCGGTAGTACTGCTCTACCACGGATGTTTGTGGTCGAAGAATTTTTTGCCGACGGTGCTCATGCAGGCAAAGCCTCGTAGTGTACCTACCACCTGACCGCACACCCGCCCTTCTGTCTCATAAAGCGGCGTCGCGAAACTTTTCAGTCCTTCGCACAACCAACGAGGTGCAGCAGCAGGATGACGAGGATTGTTTTTTGGTCTCGAGCTTGAAGTTTGGTCTGCTGACGGCAACAACCACAACACCACAAAACCGCTTTTCGTCTCTACTACCCGCTCTACCCTCTGCCTACACATTTTGTTCTTACACATTTTTAATGTGAAGACAACAACAACACATTCATGTTCCAGCTGTCTCTTTCAATCAACATCCAGAACAGCAGAACAGTCTTTTTTTAGAAATTCACATACACGAGAGAAAGACTGCCCGTTCCAGATACCACATCAGTCTTGGGATGAGCATGATATCGTTCAACAGAGAAGAATGTCTTTGGTGTGTTGCTGTTGACCATTTGACGAGCGTAGTTGCTCGTGTGTCATGAGCTGTACGTACCTACGTACCTACCTCTTCGTGCGTGTGCTTGCTTCCAACCTTCGTTGATACATCCAAGATTGGCGATGGTTTGCAAAGATGGTTGCATTTTCGCGCATAAAAAGACGATCTTTCTCCCAAGAGTTCAAGCGCGTCATGCAGGTTGTTGGTTTCTTCGGCAACAACGTGTCTTCAACAGCAAAAGTTGTTGGAATTTGGAAGCAACTCATACCCATACATGAAAGCTCGTGTATGAATGTGCAGGTATAGCAACGGGCCTGTGTTTTTGTTGGGGGGGGGTTGCGGCAGCACCGTCGCGATACGGTTTTGGAAGTTCGGGGTTTGCCTGGATGTACCAGACAGCGGTGTTGGCGTTGTAGCAACTTGTCGAAGCGACCCTCTCCCGGGGGGGCAGCATGTTGATGATGCATGGCTCGTATCTTGGCAAAGGTGAAGAGAGAGATGACTCATTGTTCTGTTGCCACGGACAAAGAATATCAATTTCGAAATACAGAGTCGTTGACGCTCGCATCAGCGCTCGTTCTGCTCACCCATTCTTGTACAGATGGTATCATTTTGTGGATGTCGCTGGCACCGACCTTCTCGTTTGTATGTGTGTGAATCCACAAATAGACAAGATATGCGCCTTGCATGCGTTCCTGCCTAGTTCGGTTCAAAGTCAAGTGTACAAGACGTACGTATGCATACAAGGCGTCGTTTTCGTTTCCCCGACATGCGCGCTCAAGCACTCGTGTGTATCATCTTGTACCTAAGCTGTGTCGCCCGAAAAGGTAAGCCTCTTGTGTTCAGTCGTCTCCTCCCCTGCCTGCTACCCTTCCTATCCCCAAACAGAGACACAGCAACTGCTGTATTCCCAACCAAAACGTGCTAGAAATACGATACCAGACCATCTGTTGCGCTTCTCAGCAGTCTTCTGCCATCCCTTTCTCTCTTTCTCTCTTGTAGTATAGCGTTCCTGCACACTGACCGCTACTATTATACTGTATCGTTCTCGTCTCTTCCTCCCCTGGTGTTCTCAGTGTGGTGTTTGCGATGGAGTATCTGCCAGGAGGCGACCTGTATCAGCGATTGTCGGACAAGGGCACGCTGTCGCTCAGGGAGACCGTGGCATGGACGGCGCAAGCGGTGCTAGCCATCGAAGACCTGCACGCGAAAAACATCGTACACCGAGACGTTAAGCCAGGTTGGTCGACAAAGAGAAGCTAACCTGTGCAAGAATTGGGGCACCGCGCAAACATGCATACTTCCTTATTGGCGGAAGGGGGGAGGGTTGACTGTCGTACACTATTATTGCGGAGGTTGATGCCCAAAATACAACAAGTTTTTAACAGAGACACAGCAGCAGCAATGTGGCCATGGAATATGTTGCACTAGCCCTATATTTACCCTATCCCCCCCTTACCCCCCCCCTCCCCCCACTCTTAACAGAGAACTTCCTCATGGGCAAGTCCGGCACGCTTAAGCTCACCGACTTCGGCTTCGCGCGCGAGCTCGCACCAGACGAGCGGCTGTACTCGCAGTTCGGGACCCCGGAATACGTTGCGGCAGAGGTGCGTGGGTTGTTCCATGAAAAACTAAACTGGCTTCGTGTCTGCTGTTGATTCGGGACATTCGCTCGATCAAGATCAACATCGGGCATAGTAACAGCTTGCTTGCAGTAGTGATAGTGGATGAAACAAAGTGCGTCCTTGGAGGTGGAAGGGTGTGCTGTAGAGAACGCTGAGAAACGTTCCATTGAGTTGGTTCTCTTTTGCGCAGTCCTAAAAGAGGTGCTCTCCCTTTCGCCGTCCATCATCAAAAACCAACCTGCGTACGGTCTGGCAGGTGCTGAGCGGCGGCGGCCACGGCATGCCCGTCGACCTGTGGGCCCTGGGCGTGCTCATCTACGAGCTACTGGTTGGGCAGACGCCGTTCAAGTCGCCGAGCGTCGAGGAGATGTACGAGCGCATTGCGGCCGGCGACTACGCCTTCCCGAAGCCCCCCGCGAGTCCGGCCTGCGCTGCCGCAGAAGGTTCCTCCTCCAACTCCTCCTTGAAGTTGTGTTTGTCATCGAAGGCGGCGGGCAAGTCTGGTTCGTCGTCGTCGAACGTCCACAAGGGTGGGGTGCAGAAGCAGTCGTTTTCGTTGAAGAAGTCGGACTCTTGTCTGTCGGCGACGGCGAGCAAGAAGGGCGGCCTGGCGACGGCGGTAGGCCCCAACGGGGCCGATCACACGCGACAACAAGCGGAACCGGCGAAGAGTAAACAGGCGCAACGGCAGGAGCAGGGCACGGCCGACAGCAATAACACCTCTGGTGGTGGGGCGCAGGACCCCGCCGCCCAGTCCCTCGTCAAGGCTCTCCTCTGCCTCGACCCAAGCCGCCGGCCCAGCCTCCCCGAGGTTAAGCGCCACCCGTTCTTCGCCGGGGTCGACTTCGACGGCCTCCGGGCGGCGGTGCGGGCCCAGGCGGATCGGGAAGAGGAAGAGGCCGTCGTTGCAGCGGCCATCGAGGGCGGCGACGTCTGGGTCCGCGGCCAGCCGGTCGTCTGCCAGTCCGACGAGATGAACGATAACTACGGCGGTGTCTTCGTCGGGTTTTGAAGAGTGTGTGTTTCCTGCCCCGTGAAAGGCTGCGGGCGAGGTGGAGGGGGGAGCACTCTTCGGTTGGGGTCGTGCGGGTGTGCGTCGTCCAAGTAGATGCGGACAGGACAGCAAAGACTTGCTGTTATTTTGTTTTATTTTACCTGCTTGTTTTGTTTCGGGTATGGGTTGTTTTCTTGTAGGCGAGGTGGGAGGAAGTTGACGTGTATTTCGACCCTTGTCTTTTGTCACCTTAACTTTGTTCGTTTTGTCGTCCTGGGTGTGCTTGCGATGTAAGTGTTCCGAATACCTTGTTGAGTTTTTGGGCGGTAGAAGTAGTATTTATTTAGCCTCGGCTGCTTTTGGAGGTGGAAGATGTTTTGGAGGGGCAGGAACGATTTCGTTGTTGCCTTGTCCCCCTAGGAGATATTAGTTGTTGTGGAGAGGCAGAGGGCAATAGCTAGCAATAGCGAAGGAAGGCCACGATCAGATCATCAGCCTTCAATTTTCAGCCCTTGGCGTGCTGATAGGTTGTTTGCTGTCTGCTGATGAAGAGTCAGGGACTATGGTGGGGAGCTGTCGCTACGCCATTGATGTCATTCCCCGGGGAATGGACCTGCCCTATCTAGTGCAAGGACTGTGTCTCCTTTTCTTATCTGTCGAGTCTCGTGTTGCGTTGTTTGACCTCCCCTCTCCGTTTATCGTGTACCCCGTGTCTGCTCCTTGTCGTCTATTTAATTCTCCCCTGTTTTCCTTCTCTGTGATATGTCTCCTGAATTGTCTCGATTTTATTTTTTCCCTACGACTTGTTGCTCGTGTCTAATCCTCGTAGAAGTTTCGCCTATAACGTTTTTCCGGGGTCTGGGGGTAGTAGGGGGGTCCGAGGTCTGGGTATGGTAGGGGGGGGGTCTCTGCTCTGCTCTTGCCTTTTTGCCTTCCCGTCTCAACGTTTCTTCCTTCGGCAGCTATCTCTGTTATGGGTGCATCTGTACATCTGGCGATAGAGGAAGGGCAACAGGAACAAGAAGTCATTTTGTGCTGGTTGCAACGCGTTGGTCGGGAGTGGGGGGGGGGGGCAGAGTGTTCCAAGACAACGGCGAAGATGGCAAAGAGAATTAATTGGCTGGTTTTTTTTTTTCGTTCAAAGATGTTCATATTAATCGGGGGATCGGTATCTTGGTTGCAGTCTGGCTTTGCCGCGAGCCGTGTACGTGCGCTCTTGGGTCTTTGTTGTGAAAACGTACGCTTCGTGTATCCCGGTGTGACACTTTCGATCGTGGAGCAATAGGCTGCAGCACAGGGTGTGGCCCACACGGAGGCTGGGCTAGAAAAATGTGATTGATGGGAAGGATTGATGGGAGGGTTCTCTGTTCTATTCTACCGCCATTTTTATTGTTCTGTTTTTCTTTCCACATCCGTGGGCAGAGGAAAAGTATCGCCATTTTGTTCTACCCGCGCACGCCGCACGCACGCGTGCATGCCGTTGTGCATTACTTGTGCACCCAATCTGATATCGACTTTTCGGGCGGTTTTGGGAGGGTTTTTGGGCGGGGGATGGGGGGGGGGGGGAGTCGAGGGGATTGGGAGTCGGTGTGCATCAGGCCGGTTGTATTTAGGAGGTGGCCTTGGGCAGGAGGAGACGGCAAAAGGAATGCTCATGATGCCGGAGCGAATTCCTTTCTTGCTCTGCAAAGTGTTTCGCAAGGGCACTGTGCTATTGCGGGGATGGGGAGTTAGTTTCTGAGAGCATTGTTATGGGGATTGCTTCTCAGTTCGTTTGGTTTTGTTTTCTTTCGGCTGAAAATCGAATATAGATCAACGAGAGTTAATTGATTTGACACATTTGTCCATAAGGTAGGTAGTCACTTCTTAGAGCGACGAATGACTTAGATATCTGTCGGTCCCGGTTGGAGCCTTCAGCTTATTGGTGGGGCGGTGGGGGGGGGCAAAAGGTGGCGTGTGGACAGTCCGTTTAGAACACCAAGAGTCGGCCTGTCGGCAAAAAAACGTATAGAGTGGAAACAAAATTCGCGACGATGAGCGTGAGCAGGAGTCTCGTCTCTCACCATAAAACAGACGACTGACTGCGTTTGCGTCAGGGTTTGATGTATTCAGTAAGCAGACATGCTGAACATTAGAGGGTGGGTGGGTTGGAGTGTGGGCGAGGGGGGGGCGGAGGGTGGTGCGGGGCACTGACCGTTGGCCATCTATCCCCTTCAACAGTAAATACATGATTTTATACCCTCATTTGATATGCGGGTCAGGGGGAAGCCGGCGGCAGTCGTGTATGTGATTGTAGGGTAAAGTAAAGGGTGTGATGATGGACGATCAAGTCAAGTGGACGGTTGGTTGAACGTTGCGTGCGTGGAACGGTTGTGTCTTTGCATGCCTGCAGGTAACAACGTATCCAACGGCTGGAACTGGTGGGGGAGACGGAGGAAGTAGTGTAGGCAATAGGCTTATACCTGCCGTTCGTTGAAAACGGAGTTCGAGTGACTTGTTCCTGTTGCAGATTTTTGAAGCAAATGCCGGTGGAGAGATGACACAAGAGAGAAGAGACGATTTGCGGAGAAGGTCGATTGTTGCCCAGGTACAGGCAGTGCATCAACACTATCGCCGAGTTGCCGCCATGGCTAGGTCGCCAGCAGTAGCGGTGAGGGTATTATAAAAAAAGTATTGAAAAGTAATATCATACCATATCAAAAGGACATGGATGGATGGATGGATGAAGTGCGTTGCGTGCATCGTTGTACATTCGAGGTACGGTACCCAACTAATGGGATGATAATATAAAATACGAAAATTATGTCATGATGTCATGGTCTGACAAGTGCTGGTGGGAAATCGAGGCCGTGTGAACCTTATCTTTCCGTTTCAACGGGAAAAATATCGTGCACTCGACAGCAGTCACTACTGTCCACAGAGCAGCAATAACCAACCACCTGGTGAACCTACATATGCATAGTCTACAGGTGATCCGTCGTGGATGACGTTTGTTTGTTGTTGGTGGAGGAAAAGATAAGAGCAGACGAACGTGGACGTACATGCACGATCGATCGTCGTTGTATTTCTCGTGCACACCACGCGCTAATAACTCACTCTGCGAGCACATGCCAAGGAAGTTGACATTGAACCCAGTTGGGGAAGCTTACTCGTTCTCATCAAGTGTAGGAAGAAAGGACGGTAATTGATGAAAAAAATTAGTCAGGGAACTTTGCAACACCTTCCTGCAACCACGGAGGAAGAGCCAAGCAAGAGAACACGATTGATTGATTCTCAACAATCAATCACGGATGGCACACGCTGGAGACACGAGCGAGCTACATAAAATATAGAAATGCCCCACGGTATGTATGTATGAATGTATGTGTTGTATTGTATGTTTGCAACACCCGGCAATGTGACGGCAAGAAAGGCACTAAAACAAACTCAACGCGAGATGTTCAGTCGAAAAGTTGGAGCATTTCTCACTTGTTGGATTCCCCCTGGAACACAAGTGCGATCAAGACACCTCATGCACGAGGTAAAAAACATTTTAAAAAACCCATTCCATTGGTTCATTTTTCATTTTTTTAGGCTACACAAATCAAACAGGATCAATGTACGGCGCAGAGTGGTTTTCGCCCGTACGCATTCAGCATCGTTGACAATGTATGATGTATGTGACGACACTTACTTGCGTCTAATCCACTTCCTCCACGCTGCCACATTTATCCCACGACAACAAGACTGACTCTGACAAGGCGAGGCAGAAGCCTCCGGAACGGACTCGCTTTGGTTGTCCAATGGTCAGTTAGTTAGGCAATACACTAAACTACTGATTGCGAAGCACCAGAGGCTCGTTAGCCCCAAAAGTAGTTTCCATTCCCAACACCACTATTAATACTGCTGTACACACAACAAACTTGGGTACCGCGCAAAGTAAACCTCTATGAGGCACCACTCACGAACCCGGAGAGAAAAAACACCACGGGTGGCAAGACGCCAGACCCTGATACTACTCAGGTCAATGACCGACCGACAGACCTGTTGACTGGTAGTAGTGTCTGTTGAGGTCATGCCTGTCTACATGTGTGCAGCCGGACGGGGCGGAGAGGGCGGAGGTATCCACTACGGGCGCTTGGAATGCCCCTCCTTTTCCGTCTGTTCCACCAGTAGACGTCTAGTACTACGGCAGAGACCACCCTACCTAGCTGTTGCACGCGTCTCTAAAAACTAATCCGATTGAGCGTACGTAAAGTAGTGTGCGTTTCCGCCGGGAAAAGAGAACCGTGAGCACAAACTACTGCCTTGATAAACATCCAGTACTAGCAACGCATGTCCTTGACTATTGCAAAAAAAAAAAGCGCTTTGTTTGGCAACTATTATTTTATTTTTTTCTTGATACAAGTATGACACAACCAATCCATCTCTATCTGAGAAAAGAGTCTAAGATAGATTAGCAATGAATCCACAGCATTGCAATGCAAATGTGGATACCGCCGGAGGTTACGCTTCGTGCCGAAGCAACGGAAAATCACAGCAGCACCAGATATCATATCAACAAATCAACAACGGTTGGTCGTCTTGTCAATGCTAGTGGAGCACCCAAACCGAGGGTCACCTAAGGCGCAACGTGACCCCCTCAGCCCAATCCTTTTTCTTCTCCTCCGGCTGCTGCTTTCCCTAAGGATTGAGCTGACCTGCAGAATAGGGAGGAATGTACACAAACACAGAGAAAATGGGACGTGAACTTGGAGAATGTTCTTTCTCTTCATGCGGTCGTCGCCACGACCGCAACTAATGGTACATACTGCTTTGACAACCTACATTACGGAGAAAATACTCTTCTGCCGCGCTGCACAAGTTCGTCAGGGCCAACGGTGCCTCGTCATCGGGGGCGCTGGAAGTAAGTAAGTGTGGCCAGCTGGTGACAACCTCAAGGTCTTGGGGACCCATTTCGCTTTGGACTTACTTGGGGTAGGGTCGTCAAGGAGCCGGTTGGCAATTCGCTTCGTAACTCCGTTCTTCATATTCTTCGGCATACAGTAGGTGTCCCGGTATAGTGCCGGTATGTGTCCAGGCGATTTGACCGGCACTATACCGGGCACCGGCACTATTCAGAATTGTGCCTCAATAGTGCCAAACCGGCACTATTCAGGGCCTGAAAATCCCTCTATAGTGCCGGCTTGGCACTATTCAGGACTGTTCGACTTCAGAGTGCAGCGCATGCTCTTTGCGGGGCTGACAGAGTACCAAACGAACGATATTTGGATCAATCGTGAGGTGGACGACGTGGGCGGGCTTCATTAAGTTTCGTGAGGCTCTTGGACTGTCGAAAACACGGCATTGGTAACATTAAAATTAACTTGATAGACCAGATAGATTTGTTGCACGGCAGTTGTTCTCTTCCCACCTCACTCAGCGCAAGCACTCGCTAGTAAAACGTTGCTGCTGCCTTTCAACCGCAGACCGTGCTGCCCGATAAAAGTGCATCTCGCTATCACATTATTATGTGTTGTTTGCCACAAGGCCGTAGCACTATTCAGGCAACCTCAAAGGCACCCCTCGACAGCGAAAGAAAGACGCTCATGCACGCACCCGATGTACATTTGGAGGTAAAACATGGATGGATGTAGTGCTCCTTACATGAGCACACAAAAGCAGATGCAACCTAAAAAACGGGTGAAGAAGATAACGAACTCCCCTGTTCCTTCGATAAAAAGCTAGAGAGAATACCAAGCCTTCAGAAGCAAGAAAAACGACTGGCCAACCAAATACGTCAGTCTCAGTGCGGTCAAAAACAGAAAATATTTGTTTCTCAAGGCCGTGAGAGGGTGTCATGGAGGAGGCTGAGCTATTCTCTGGAAAAAGACAGAAGAAATGGTAGCAACAGAGAGAGGAGAACTACGTGACTGCCAAGGCTTACTACTTTGAACACGCGATCGTTTGGGAGTGTTTTCATCCTTCCTTAGAAGTATTTTATTAACTATTGTTACACAATATTGGGCTTTCATCTCTAGATTCTGCGCCGCTGCGGCATTTGTTGTGAGGAAGGTCATCTCGCTTGAAACTCTTGTTGTTCCCCTCAACGCCATATTTTCCTCCTGCATCATCACTGCTATCCTTGGCTATATTTTCCATGTCCGTCGTCACTACCACCATCTTCCTTTTCGCTCGCCTCACTACTGAAATCCCAGCCTATTGGTGGAACCTGGTCGATCGGTATACCGTGACATTTGAAGACGTCACGCGTACCGAGAGAAACCGAGCTATACTTGTAGCTCGAAGGGAAACCGTCTCCGAATCCTGTCGGCGTGGAAGGCTTGAGGCGAAAAAAGGCTGTGTGTGGGGTCTGAACCGGCACTATTGACGGGTTCGATAGTACCTGAACCGGCACTATAGCGGGCAGCCCTGAATAGTGCCAAACCGGCACTATTCAGGCCTGTGTCTGTGTCGATAAATTTTACCGGCACTATACCGGATGTTGGCACTATTCAACCGGCACTATATCGGGACACCTACTGTACCGTACAAACCCTCACCATTCCCCCTTCAAGCGCTAACAATGACTTTGAGTTGTTGTTCAAATGCAACTCACAAAACAAGGAACTCCTGTGTGATCGTTAGCCCCGTGTATTCATCCGATGTACTCCGGGTGCCATGCTACACGAACACTTGGGTATATGTTTAACCCACCATCACCATCCGGGGCCACACACAAGGGCGGTGTTGTGCACATTGGAGTTTGTTTTTCTCCGTGTTTCCTCCTGCGGTGCTTGTCTTCAACTGATAAGCGCTAGAACCGTTCAGCAGTCTCCTCCCTCTTTTACAACACCATGCGCTTTCCACAAGGAAAGTGCAAGCCTTTCTATCGGGAAGAGATTCGAACCCATCACCTACGTAAGAGTTCGAAGGCTTCACGACGTTATCAACTGAAATACTCGGCCAATGGGTCGGTCGAGAACACCCGGCTGATGCCTTCACCGCACATATATACGAAAGAGGTGGGTGAAATCGACGCCCAATAATTGGGCCGTTGGCAAGCACTAGCAGCATTGAAGAACCACGCACACACAAACAATCACCTCCGACCCTCATTCGTCCAGCTTGCGTAGCCTAATCAGACTTCGCCTCCTCCCCAATATTTCTGGCTCGTGGGACGAAGGACTCACTTTCGAGGGGCATCCCTTGGTCAGGTTCTTGCTTGACTGGCGCTTGCACCGACGGGACGTCACCGGGTTGGCGCGGGCGCTTTTTGGTCCTTGGGGGTATCCTGTCAGGGGCGTTCCTAGCACGCTTGCCTTGGGTCTTGGCATAGACAGCGTTTATGTTTATCATCCCGGGTCTAGCGTGCTGGCTACAGAATTCCGGCCGGGTTGAACCTTCCGCGCAGTAGTACGGCCTCTTGAAGCAGGTGGGGTGGGCGCAGCTTCGGCATCGCACGTTGACCATTCCGTCTTCTGCGTGCCGGCTGCAGAATGCTGGTGTTTTTGTTCCCTGAGACACAAATTGCCGAAGCAGCTGGAACGATGTGAGTGACGTGTGCCGGGTGAGGCGAGGGGGGGGGGCGTACTCTTATGTTTTGCATGCCTTAGCGGTTAGACCATTGACCACGCGTCCTCGAGAGGACGGAGCACTGTTCCCACAGGACCGATCACCGATGGCCAATCGTCCCTTCCTACTTTGCCAAAGGTGGCTCAAAAATGTCTTCCCTAGTCTGTCTATCCCAACGATATCCCTTCCCGCCTTCTCAAACCACTTCCTACTCCCCAGTACAGCTACCGTCCTCTCCTCTCTATTCCATGCCTCAAACATCTCCCTGTACGTCCCTTGTATTTTTCCCAGCTCAGTCATGTACACTTCCCTCTCCTCTTCGTACCACGGACATCCCGCGACTACATGAACACGGTCTTCGCATTCGAAGCCGCAATCACATTTGAACTTGTCGTCTTCGTCGTCTACCGTCCTATGTCTTCGTCGACGTTCTCGAAGGCCTATGTCCCCGGTCCTGAATTTGACCTTCAGCTTTGTCCCTGCATCCATTGGTCCATGTAGGTAATCCTTGAACCCCATTCCTTCTTTCAACATTCCGTACGCTTCTAGACCCTCCTTATCCTTGGTTTATTTCCTTAGATTCTGTTCTTCTCTCTCGGCACAAGCAGCAGATATCTTCTCCTTGAACCCCTGTAGACCCTCCGTTTCCAGCGTGTCATCTTCGTCGATGTCTAACCCCTTCCATATGTCCTCTACAACCTTGACCCATTCCGTGGGTTGTCTACCCCTCTTTTTGTTTTCCCACTTCGCCTCCCATACTATTTTCGGCAACCTCTCCTCTCCCATCCCGCACATGCGATACTGCCATGTCAGCTTCCTTGCGTCTCTTCCCGACCGTAGGGATTGGATCCCCAATTCTGCCCTTACGGCTGCATTACTTGTGCGCTTGGAGCATCCTAGGATGATTTTCGCTGTTTTCATCTGCGCCGCCTCGAGTTCTTTCACTACCTTCTTATTTCCTTCCCATACTTCTCCGGCGTTCTCTAGCGGCGGTACGATTACGCTCTTCAAAACCGTCAACGTGATGCGTGTATCGAGGTGCCGGTTTGCGAGTATTGGGTGTAGCTTCCCTGCTCGTGCTTTGCCCTTTTCTGCTACCTTGGACATGTGTGCATTCCACGAGCAGTCGTTTGCGATCTCTACTCCGAGGTATGTGTACTGGTCCACTACTGCAACCTCCTCCATCCCCCACTTCCATCTATGTTCTACTGGTTCCTCCCTGCCCTCGTTGCATACCATGACGGCACTCTTCTTAACGTTGGCAGACAATCTCCACTTATCAGTAAACTTCTTCGCCGCGTCAATTTGTAGTTGCAGTCCCTCAGGGGTGTCCGACATACCAACAAAATCATCCGCAAACAGCATTCCTGACACCGAAGTTTCCGTGTCCCCTACTTTTACTCCCTTCCGGACTGCCTCTACGACTTCCAACAGATCGTTGATGAGCACCTGGAACAATGTTGGGGACAGCGTGCAACCTTGTGGGACCTTCTGCTCAATGTCGAAGAACTTAGACAGTTCTCCGTCTAGCATGACCGCGCTTTTCGCACACTCTGTCATCTTCTTCAGCACCCTCCACATTTTCCCCTTGATCCCGTACTTGGACAATTGTTTCCACAGCCCATTTCTCCATACGGTATCGTATGCCTTTTTCACGTCCAGGAAGAAGCAGTACGTCGGCTTTCCCGCCCTCTTTCTACCTTGGATGATTCTCCCTACCGTGAATGCGTGGTCTACGCACCCCCTCTTCTGTCGGAAACCTGCCTGGCCCTCACTAATGCTACGTTCCTTCTCCAACACTCCCATTTTCCTATCGTTCAGCAACTTACAAAACACTTTTCCTACTGTGTTCAACAGTGTGATACCCCTGTAGTTTCCTAGGTCAGTCTTGTCTCCTTTCTTAAACAAGTTCACAACCTTCCCTCCATCAACTTGGCGCATACTGGTTTTTCCACACCCAGTTGTACAGCAGTACCATCAACTGGATCATCCCCTTCCCCCCAAACTTCATGAACTCGTTGACTATCCCATCCGCCCCTGCTGCTTTGTGGCACTGCAACTTGTTCACGCACGCCTCAACCTCGTCCACAGTGAACTCCTTTTCTAGTTCTACGTTCCCAACGTCTGCCTTCGATGTCTCTTCTTCTTTCTGGGCCCATGCGTCCACCTCCTTCTTAAACACTGGGTCAAAACTTCATTCTCCGAAGGCACTCCAAGTCTCTTGTAGTGTCCTGCTAGAACTTCCCTTTTTCCCTTCCGACTGCTGACTAGTCCACCTTTCACACCTCGCAAAGTTGCTACCCCTGTATCCCCCCCTTGCGCGGTCTTTTTTACCATCCCACTAATCCCTTCTCACATCTGCTTGGCGTTCCCCTCCAGGCCTCCGTTGGCCTTCTGCACTACTTCGTCCCAAATTCACTTTTTCTTCTTTTTCACTAGTCCCTTCACCTGTTTCCTCTTGGCCCTGTACTTTTCCCAACTCTCCTCAGACCCCTCACTCAGGTACTGCTTGAAGACTTCTTTACGTTCCCCTATTTCTTCTTTCAGCTCGTCATCCCACCACTTAGCCGATACCCCACATCGTACCACCTTCTTTCCCACTACTCTCTCTGCCGTTATGCTCACTATGGACTCCCATCCTTCAATCACCCTGTCCCCTGCTGCTTGTACGTCTACCTGTCCGTCTTCGACGCTTCTCAGCAGTTTCCTGAAGGGTTCTACACTACCAGCCAGTCGTTTCTGGAATTCATCCAGTGTCCCCTCGTCTCCCAAACGCTCTACTTTCCACCGGAAAACTTTCCTCTGTTTCTTACTCTCCGTCTTTCTAGATCGGTCGATGTTTGCCCATACGAGGAAATGGTCGATCGAACCTATATGTATCGCACTTACGTGCAGCTCTGGGATCTGTGTGCTCCCCCTATCTACCAGGATGTAGTCGAGGATCGTATTCATTGCAAACTGCCCTTTGCCTGGTGAACTCCGGCTTATCGCATTCCCTCCTACCGTTCAACACCATCAGCTCGTTGCTTCCCAAGAATTCAAGCATCCTCACTCCGTTCTCATTCACTTTGTCTTCTCCGTGCTGCCCGATCGCCTGCCCTCTACTGGAAGCTTTCCCTACTCTGGAGTTGAAATCACCCACCATGACAACTTCTCCCTTCCTACTGAACCTCTGGACATCTTCCCCAATTTGTCCGAAGTTCTCCTGCGCCTTGCTCGCGACTTTCTTCGACGACGGTGGGACGTATACGTTCCCTAGAAACAAATCTTTCTCACCCCGCTCCCCAGGTATCTTAAGCCATAGGCTTTCCTCGAACTCCGTTTTCACCACTACTTCCACCACGTCAAACAAGTGAGGCGAGGGGGGGGTCTATGTTCTATCGTTGCCGCTGCTGCCGTATCCTTGGCACACCTTAGTGCAGCACTGGTGTGGAATTTGCCTCGGAGTGGAAGCTAAACAATTCACGTGTATGGTAATATTTAGTAGCAAAGCGGAAGTACACAACAGCAGGGAGGTGGCGCGTTTCGCAGGACGATTATATATTTGATTGAATTAAGGGGTGGGAATTTCGGACAAGATTTGGGTATTTTTTTTTCCGGATAGCGCAGACTGAAACCCCAACTTGCAATTGGGGAATATCTCTTCGTTCCGAGGCACGCCGCACTGCAACGGCACTAAATAGAGTAGACTGTACCACTGCTTGCTGGCTGCTCGTCAGGCCTACTTAAGTTGAAAGCTTTGCAGGGACCGCTGTCTGCAAACGGTACGGTGTCGGGGATATGCATCATTGCTTGATACTTGTGTGCCACAGTACCAGTAGCATCATAAGTCACGCATTCCCCTCTGTAGTCGATTGCAGCAACACAACAAGTCGTCTCTGTGTGATGCGTAGGCACAAATACACTTTCATGTGTTCTACATGTGTAGCCTAGGGATGACAGGTTGAGAGTTGAGGACACTTGTCCTAGATACACAGCAGTGGGTAGAAGCTTGCGTGCAGATTTCGAGCAGGGAGACTCTGAATACGTCAGAGAGATTGTCGGAATAGTTGCGGCGAAACTTTCGTGTTTGTCCGAACAGACCCCGCGAGACCAATACAGCGAGTAGATCTCGGGAGAACCCTGCTTTGACGGTTCGTGTGATTTTGTTTTTTGTTTTCGAGATGAGACACAAGCGTGCTATCGCCCCTTGTGCCCACTCCACTTATGCACCATCAAAACGTGACGCGGGAGTCAGTCAGTAATCAAACATATTTCTTTGCTTCTTCGTTCCGAGGCACACATCAAGTTGCACCCGCACTCGAAGTGTAACCTCTCTCTGTGTAGGCTGCTGTACAACCACAGCTGCTGTACAACCACAGCCTACGAAGCGACCGCAGCACACAGCACACACCCGCTGCTGCAGAGACGCTTATCCCCCAGATACGGTACCACGGAGGCGTCGTGCACTATTTACTCACTTGGGGGCCGAAAGATGCGCGGGTTGTGCAAAGTGGATGTTCGCATTTCCTGCTGCGAACGTTGATCATCCCCTCCTTCGCATGCTCCTGGCAGAACTCTGCCCTCTTGGAGCCGCCCACGCCAAAGTTCGGCTGTTTGTTGCATCCGAGATGGCTGCACACCCTGTCGAGAACGTTACTCATTCCCTCCTTCGCGTGCACGGTGCAGTATTCCGCCTTCTTGGTGCCTGTGCAGCCGAAGGATGCCAGCTTGTCGCACTCGTTGTTGACACACCTCCTGCTGATGACGTTCACCATGCCCCTCTTCGAGTGTTTCACGCAGAAAATCGCGGTCTTGGTGCCTTGAAGGCCGTAAGACGGGGTTTTCGAACAAGCCAGGTGGCCACACCTCCTGTTGAGAACGTCTACCATCCCGGGGTGCCTATGCTTGGCGCAGTACTCCGGTTTTTTGGACCGCGCCGTGCCGTATGTGGGCATTGTGGTACACTGATGCTGTGCGCATTCTCTACGCATCGTTTTTATGTGTGTAATCCAGCTTCTTGTGCGTGCACGTAGTTTCTTCGTAGCCGGAAACTCCCACAGCTCCTATTTGGTCGGCCTGAGCACGGGAGGGAGGGAGGGAGGGACGCAGCCGGTGGAACTTTGGTTAGGGTCCATTGCCGACAGGTTGTGTGGAGACGCACGCTTTGGTTGGGCTTGGGGTGACAAAAGACACAACAAGTAATAGCTGCGTGCTTCACATGTATGTATGGTCCAAAATGGGATGGTAGATATCATGGGCGATTCTCTGTCATGCGTGTGATGGGCAAGCAGTCAAACTCGTTATGATCAATGATACATTAAGGAATAATAAATACACACACAGAAAGACTACCCATTCGAGATATACCCACAGTCATATTACATCGGGTATGCATGCGGAGGGCTGACTCTACCCCAACCGGGAAGTCGAAGTGTGAAGGACAGAACACGGTATTCTTCGTACGTGCAATATGCAACCGCCGTATGGGTACTGTAAAAGGATATCACGCATGGGTATCATCACCACCACGCTCCCTGAAAATACGTCAAAACGCGCCACACCACCCTTACTCTAGAGGAACATGAACGAGATACGGCTGGAGTCCAAACAACAATTGTACCGTATGTGCATCCAGCGGCATGGAGCGGCACGGCGGCAAGTTGTCTACACTGCTGTCTTTGCAGGCATCCTCTTTTCGGTAGAGAAATGCAATCACCGCTTGCTTACCCGACGTGAACAGATGCGTCGTATAGCTCTAGGGGTTTCTGGAGTTCCCGTCTCCCAGCGCGCCGAGCCTGATGTGCTGTGTTAGCTGGATCAACTGCTGACAGAGGTGTGAGCGGGACAGCAGAGCACCGTCCGTGCATTGCACATGTGTGTATATTGTGACATAATGATTCGCCGGAGCCCCCACAAGGATCCCGCAATTGCGTGTGCCGTTGTCGCCTTGTCTTCCCATGAGATTTGGAGAACGGGAGCGCGTGTTGGGCACATATGCACCATGCTCGTTCGTCTCGCTAGACGTGTTTGTGCCCCCCCCGTCCTGTTCTGACGCAGGTGGGTGTCTTTGTCAGGTTCAACACGTTTGAATCTTGTCCGATCTGGCGTCCACACACAACATGCGCGGACAAATAGCATAATTCCTCCGCAATCCGCAATGCACGCGTACTCGTATACCCCGTGTGGTGGATATGTGGATGATTTACAAAACGGACCTACGTGAGACCATTCAGTCAGTCATTCACGCTGACTGGGTGGTCTGGTACGGAAGGCCCTTTAGCGAACGATGAGAAAGGCGGGTGAAAAGACCGGCGCATCGTCGAACAATACAAACAACACTACCAAACTGTCTTGTTGAGCCTGTTACCCGCAGGGGAGATGTCCCTATATGCTGTCTGGGAAATCGTAGACATACAGGTACTTTCTGACGCTATGAATCCATTGCTAATCTGTCTCAGACTCTTTTCTATGATAGAGATGGTTTCGTTGCGTCATTTTAAGAAAAAAAAAAAAAAAACTCGGACATGTTGGACATGTGTGTGTGCAGGTGGCACACTCACGACGATGTCGTATGTACAGATTACAGCGTAGCATACAGCAGTTTAAGAATGAATGTGACTTCCCCTAGACTAGACTAAACCCCAATAAGGTTTATCCCTTGCAAGTAGAGGGACTATGGGATCGCAAGTTCTGTGGTTGTCCGCGACTCTGTCGATGCCGTCGTCGTGCGTCTGGGCGTCGCCTGCCCGTCTATTTGCGCGGTGAGCAATGTTACGGCCTACATCAGTGCGGCGGAGCGTAGTGGCTGGGATTTGTCCCAAGGGCATCTGTTTCCGGTCGTCCTGCCGGAAGGAACTCGGGGCTGCGCTCCGCTTACGGCGGTTCAGAGTTACGGTTGCCCTGCAAGGGTATTTGCGAGCGGCGGGACTGTCGCACCGCGACACTAGCACTCGTTCCGAGTCGGAGATTCTGTTGCGCAGTCGCTTGACGGAACGGCGATGGACGCGATCATGAAAATTGCCGGGTGGCGTACTGAGAGTGTAGCGAAGCTAACCTGCTACTTCTGTAATAGAAGACCACGAAGTCAGCCTCTGCTTGTTGGGTGATTTAGCAGGTTGGACACGCGAGAACGAACTTAATGCGGAACAAAAAGGGTACCTCCTCCTGTAAAACAACAAAATGCCGCGGTTTGGCTGTCAAGAGAACCGTGTTGGCAGTATGTGAAACCCGTGTCCAATTTGTTCACCAACTAAACTCTCACACCGTCAAGCTAGATTGCGGACGAACCCAAACCCCACTCAGGAACTCATTCGTGGAATATTGGCTGAGACCTACAGTACGTAGGAGTGTTCCTTCTTAGGCAACACAACACAAAGAAAGCTGCCTGACTGGCGACAACTCCGCTAAAAAGATGGAGAACACATGGCTATGACGGGATGGACAGAGTACAATCCGGCCGTGTGTTCCTCCTCTTTCTCCTCTCAAACACAACGCCTGCGGTGACGCCATCACTGCTGTGCACATGTATGCCTGCCAAACTGCAGTCTAGGGCGAACATGAACAGCAGTGCTACTGAACTGGCATGATGAACACATGGATACCCAAACACCGGTGAACGCCCTCCAAACCCACGACATAAAACACTCGTCATACTTAGCGCACCAAACCAAGGAACAACGAACGCGCACGACGTACTCCCCGCAAAAACCCACCGTCCGTCCCTCCGAGAAGAAAGGCCAGCGCTACAATCATTATTATCCTTGTGCCGCTTCCTCCTCGTCCTCCTGTTCATCATCTTCCTCCTCGCTGTCTACCCATTCACCGTCTCCCCAGTCGCCGTCCCCCCAGTCATCCTCATCAAACTCGCCGCCGCCCAACACGAAATCGCCTTCGAAATCGTCGTCGTCCTCCGCACCTTCCGGCACGTTCACGATCGCCAGACCCCCGGCGACCTCAAACGTCTCAAGAACAGGTGCCGCTGCCTCTTTGCTAACGCTGTCGGCGTCACCGCCAGCAGCGCTCTTATCCGGCGACTGCTTCTTTTTCTGCCGAGACGAAGGCTCAACCGTAGCACCAGCAACAGCCGGTGCGCTGTCCGGAGATCCCCGTTCCCCTCGCAAGAACGCCTCGGCTTCCGCCATGATTTCGTCAGCGTCTTCAGCGTCGACGAAAACATCGCCGTCGTCCTCGGGACCCTCCGGCTGTCGGGGGGAGGTGGAGAACGGCGCTACTCCGTACGCCTCCGCTCCTCCCCGTGCTGCTGCTGCTGCCGCCGCCCCCCCCCCTTCCAAAAACGCCTTCGCTTCCGCCGCGATATCGTCGTCGATATCACCATCGTCGATATCATCAACGCCGTCTTGTTCCAGCGTTCCCGCCGACGGTTTCGACTTACCGATCGGGTCTCCCAAAAATCCCCTGTCGATCGAAGAAGAAGCCGCTCTCTTCCGTGGCAGCGGCGGCGGCAGGGGCTCAGCAGAATCATCTGCGACGACGACGCCTCCCCCCCCGGTAGCGGTTGCCTCCTCCCGCGTGTCACCACGCGCCCCCGCCGCTGCTACCGCCGCCCCTGCCTTGGCCGCTGTCACCGCTGCCCTCGCCGCCGATGCTACCGGGGGTTCCGTAGTAGAGACGGACCAGAACCGCCCCCCCTGGACCTCACAGTCGTCGAACGGCAGCCCGAGGCTCTTAGCGAACTTGCCCATGACAAACTTCACGTCCGGGGTTGCCATGTTCACCACGATCCCCGGCCTTCCCGCTCGCCCGCACCTTTTCGTTTTAGTTGTTTTTTTGTGTGGGTGGAGGGGTGTCGGTCAGCCAAAGGCATGAAACGGGAAGGGGATTGTTGAGTCGGAAGTGTGCATAGCTGAAGGGGTTGGTTACTGAATTCGAGCCGAATCCAGTCTAGAAAAATCGGATTGGTTTTACGTAATTAGCACCAAAAGCGAAACACAGTGTCGAGGCTTTTCGTGGGGGGAGACGCTGCAGCTATTCTCTTAGGGTAGAGATCCACAACACCCTGCCATCGCCGCGACCCAGAAGTGGAAAGGTGTATCACCGACGAGACGTTCTGACACGTCACAATTCTCGTTTACAAGCAACCAAACGGAAGAGAGAAAAACAAACACACCCTTTGAGGAAGGGAGATACGCTATCTATCTATCTACCGTGCCGGGCAGAGTTACAGCAGATGGGATGGGGGCACACACGGTACATGCCTTCCTTCTCTTAAGAGACAGGCACGTGCTCTTCGCGTACCAACGCGTTTTTGTGGGTACAATAAGGCGCATACGCTGGCGCCGGCCGCGGAAGCATTGCCTCCTCCCAACAAAGCCGCAGCTCAAACAGTTACCGTACCTTCCCGCACGATGCACGTAGTGGTCAGCGTCGGTGGGGAGATCGTAGTTGACAACGTGCGTGAGGTGGGCCACGTCCAGGCCTCTTGCTGCCATCTCCGTGGTCACCACCATGGCGATGCGTTTATCCTAACATACAAGACAAGGTAACAGCAGTAGCAGCACCGGACAGGAGTAGTTGGCAGAACCAAGTCAAGGAAGAGAAAGCAAACCGGCAAAATAAACACCAAGTGCGAGTTGGCCTAGACATCTCCTCACGAACAATATTTCTACAGCATGTGAGCGCTCGATGTGTTAAGCAAGGCGGCTCGTGCGTTCGCATACGCTTGGGGTATTGTATTAATTTCGTTTGCTAGATTGCCAGTTTGAATCGCATGCTCCACGTACAGTACAGTACAGTACAGTATCCCGAGATTCAACGCTGCACATGACGGGATGGTCGGGTAGCAAACGGCACAAGCACCGTTTGGGGGGGTGAACTGAACGAGCATACTAGAGACAACATCTCTTGTCTTGTCATGGCAGAACAAACAAGGGTTTATATGTACATGTAGAGAGAAAAAACATGTCAACACACCTGTAACCGCCTCATTATCTCTGCACGGTCGTCCTTGGAGCTCTCTCCGGACAAAGGTGCCGCGATAATGCCCACTGTCTCCAAGCGCTCCGTCAGCCAGTTCACCTGATCCATCGAAATACAACATGAAACACGACATGAAACATGGTCGACAATGTTGTAGTCGTCATCGTCGTTATCGTTGTCGTTGTTGTCGTGTTACGCAAGTTGATGCTGTTGCTGCTTTCGACTTGGCAAGCATCACACATACCTGGACACACCAAACGCTGCATGCGGGACCAATGTGCAACACGCGGCGCTTGCTCTTTCAGCAACAAACGAAACAGTTGAGACGTCATACGCCTCCGAGAGTGGGCCGAGAGAGGTGAGACCGCTTCATCCGCCACAAAAGGCCACCCAAGGAGGTTGTATCAACAAGGCAGGTGAATTTCCGTTAAGACAAAAAAGTGCCGTTGATTGAGGCTTCCCTTGCAATGAAAGCCCCGCATTTGCTGCACCCGAAAAGTATCCTGTCGTGTCATGTGTTTCGGACAAGGATCACCACACGCCGGCACACTACGCTTACAACCAAAAATGTGAAGAAGGGAGCACACACTGCGTTGGCAGGCCTTCTGTATAGATGAAGACGAAGCCCTTAGAGGATACCTACGATGACATATAATCGGTGTAAGGACAGACGCTACGTACAGCAGTAGATACATACGTGAACTGCAATACACAGTGGCTACGTCATCTGCACCTGTTCGGTTACAAATTCGCCAAACTAACACCACGGCGTCAAGCCAACAGATAAGAAATGGGTGGTTGGCTCCGCGATACGCCTACAATACACAACTACAGTACACACCTGTATGGGGTCGTTGACGAAGATCATCACGCTCTCCGGGAAGGGCTGCGTGTTCAACAAGCGCCGTAGCGTGTCGAACTTTTTCACCTGAGTATCAAACAACAGCAACCACGACAGCACCAACAAGAGATTGCACAGGGAGGGCCGGGCGGGGCAGCACAAACAAAGCAGACTTCATCCAAACCGAAAGAATGAAAAACAACGGTTGTAGCGATGGCAACATCAACAACACACAACTGAACGACACTAAAACACAGACACTCGCACGGATTGCCAGCAGCAACGTTCCTTATGGGCTCTCGGGCAACTGATGTACAACTACACGCTAGATATTCAAAGTCGGCCATGGCACCTTCGTTCGTGATACATGACCGCAAAAGTTCATTCGCGGGCGCGGCTGTATCGAGCGAAATGAGTACATGGTTGTTCCATTCTTGAGGATTCCATATGAAGAAAGGCCTGCGGCTATGGCAACAAATAATAGTCGTGGAACACCTTTCTGCCGTTGCGGCAAGAGCGAGGTGTATTCAGTAGGGTAGGTCTAGCCATTCTCAAGTGCCAAAACAAACCGCATCACCAATGGCACCACAAGGACAACACACGAGCAGCACCAACAAGGGCAGCCTACACCACCGTTCTAAGAGCACACGGGCTCGCTGATCGCCACAAAGTAAACAGAAGAGTCCACGCTACATATACATGGTACAGTAGAAGACTTCTACTCCTCCCCCCCTTCCACAAGCGGGCTTCTTGCTGTAGCTGCTTCGCTGTAGCTTCCTTCTCTCACACCGCCGTCAACACACCTTGGGCATGGTGACGATCGTGTGGCGGATGTTGGAGGGCAGACCGCCCCGCCGCTGACCGCTCCCCACACCCAAATCACCTCCGCCTACGAACAGCGGCTCCTCCCTCATGTAACGCTCAGAGGCTGCGGAGACTACCGGCGAACGGCCGGTTGCCGACGCGAACACCGCCTGCCGCCTCCCTGAAAGGCCAACGAGAGAGAGACAAAGAGCAGTTGAGAGAGCCGTTGAGAAAGAGCCGCTGTTGCTGTTGTCGGTGCCGCCGCCTTTGCTGCTGACGCTGCTGCTGCTGCTGCTGCTGCTGCTGCTGCTGCTGCTGTTATTGCTAGGTCTCCGTACAAAAAAACGTCAAGGTCAAATCGTCATTGTCCTCACTTGGTTCCCCGTACGTTTACACTCGGGATTGGTCAGGTGGAAAGCGAAGACTATGCTATAACGCTTCAACACGAACTGGTCATCAACATTGTTACGGTCCTGCCGTGCACATTGTCCCCATATTTGCCTTGTAGACGGCCGGCTACAAGCCGTTTTATCCGAGCCTCAACTGCGGTTTCACGTATGTGCCGAGTTCAACCTTCAACCAGACGCCTTCTTTCGCAAAACATAGCGGTGGTGGCGGCGACAAGAACGGCGACAAGAACGGCGACAAGCACAAAACCCATCACCTCTGGGAGTTGCATCCATGATGGCGTCTATCTCTTGGTCGTACGGGGGCCTGAGCAGCGCGTCCACCTCGTCCAAGACGACCGTTCTGACCATGCCCAGCTTCATCCTCCGGCGGTCGAACACCAACTCGCACAGGCGACCGGGGGTGGCGATGACGATCTGCAAGGCAAGGCAAGGCGAGGCAAGGCAAGGCCAACAACAAATCAACAAATGAAAGGAAGAAAGCGATGGATGAGTTGGTGGCTACACAAGGACAGCGCGACAAATGGTCACCTGGCGCAAACGAAAAACAAAAGAACAGCAGAGGTTTCAAGCATGTCATTATTATTGGATCCAATCCATGTAGTAAAAATAGAAAATACTGATGGATCCAACGTGTGAGCCAAGGGGGACAAGATTTGTACAAAGTTGATTGGCCAATCATGACATGACGACACTGACCGGAAACGCCGAACGCGACAAGAGTCAGTCACAAAACAGTATGATAGCAGCAGCGACGACAACAACTACTATACAACTGCAACAAGATGATACAATGCCAAAAAAGAACGACAGCAAAAACAAAGCCGTGTGTCGAGCGTTCACAGATTAAATACCAGATTGCGCAAGCTTCCTCCTTCTGTCACCTCCGGCGGAGTGAATGCCAGACAAGAAAACAAACACCTTCCGTTCGTCCATCACACTTCTTCTCCGATCGATCATTCCATCATTCATTAACCCTTGCAGCTGAACCCTTGCCGTAGCAGCGAAAGCTGTAAGAAAAGTAGCCCCGATCTGAAAAAAAAAAGGCAAGTATTGCCGTTCAGCCATTCACGGCTCTCCATTCTCACCTGCGGCTTGACCTTCTTGAACCTCTCCACCTGCCTCAGGGCGTTGGCACCCCCGATGACCATGCTGCTACGGAGGCCGGTCCCTTGGATAAGCTTCTCGCACACGGAGAAGATTTGGCTAGCCAGTTCTCTGCCTGGGGCCACCACGACCGCCTGTGGGCACCACAGCAAAGGCACCACAAAACAAAACTTAGGTGCTGCATGCTGTAGAGATATAATACGCGGTGACTACACTAGTTACGGGCGTCGTACAGGTTTCGGGGGGCAGAAAAGACCGAGAGGGGCGAAGAGGAGACGGCGAACTGGATGTGGATGGATTTCGCTTCGCGACGGAAGAAGTTGCCGTTACCGTTGCCATTGCCACCACGACAGGACCAACGACGACAAAACTACCGGATAGCAACACCAGAAAGAGCAATGCCAACCACAACAACAACAACAGCAAACACCCACACCACCACCACCACCACCAACAACAACAACAACAAAAACAACAAAAAACAAACAGCGAGCGAGGGCTTCCACGAACGAACCTGCAGGGCGTTGCTGTCGGGATCGGTGGCCGCGATAAGCGGCAGCAGGTACGCCAGGGTCTTTCCCGAACCCGTGTGGGCGTGGATGATCACGTCCCGGTCTTCGGACAAGAGCCCGCGGATAGCGGAAACCTGGACATCCGTCGGGGAATCGATTCCCAGCTTCTTGATGTTCTTGAGAACGGTCCGGTCCTGGATGCCCAGGTCTCGGAAGGAGAACGAGGCCTGCTGCTCGAGGGTCTCCATGTCGGCGATGTTGATCGCCGTGTAGGTCGGCTTCCTCTCCACCGCCTGTCGAGCGGTCAACAGAGGAACAAAACCCGTGCAAGTACAACACAGACACACTTTGAGAATAATGCTAATATGGTGTGGTTTAGCTGATAAGCCGGTCAGCGCGGTCGATGCTACAAAGTAACGCACACGCAGCGATTTTGAGTTATTTCCCCAGTTGAAGCAGCCCTGTTTCAGCTTCTACAGCCAGAGCAAGGGCGTGAAACCTCAATCCAAAACCGGCGATAAACATTAACATGCAAACAATGTTCCTTCTCTCGTCTTTCGGCGCCGGGCCGGTTAGCCCCGCTTCTTCAAACTATTACACCATACTGGATATCGCCACCGTCCCCGTGAAGATTTGACCGGTCGAAATCGGCGATGCCTTGGGGGGGGGGGGGGGGGGGGAGGCGTACTCCTATGATTTGCATGCCTTAGCGGTGAGACCATTTCCTCGAGAGGACGGAGC